ATAATAATAATAATAATAATAAATAATAATCATTATTACCTATAAATAGTACAAATTAAAATGAATTAAGCAAAAATTTTTTGAATTCAAATTATTTCACCCATTACATGTCACACATTTGTGTGATGCTATCCATTGGAATGCGTTTTGCTTTTTTAAATAAACGTTATCATTTATGTATGTTTACTATTGATGTAATTAAGTATTAATTAATTAACCTCTAATTAAAATTATAAAAATTCATGTGGTGGTGGATGATAAATATATCCATCAATACAACAATAAAATAATAATACGTTTGAAATGAATATAATTGATTAAATGTGGTGAAATGAGTTAAAAACGAGAATAAAACAGTAAGAATAGTGAAATATGCAAATATTTTCAATGCTTTCCAGGAATTTTATTTTTACTTTTCAGAGAACTATTTGTTATTTTTCAGGAATTTTATTTTTTTGAAACTTACAATAATAATATTATAATAATATAAAACTAATACAAATGAATGATATTTAAAAAATAATTATTATTCATTTGTACGTAAAATAATAAGATTAAAATTGTTTAATAAGGAATTCTTGTTAGTGAATTCAAAATTTGCAAACGAATTTGCATTTTTTTGAGTTTCATTATTATAATTTCTTTTTTAAACAATATTATTATAAATGAACAATGTTGATAATAATAGCATTCATGACAATAATAACAATAATTTTAATGTTGTTAATATAATAGAAATAACAATAACAATAATAGTAGTAGCATGATAATAATAACAGTAATAAGAATAATAATCATTGCACACTCAAAAGTTATCTCATTGCTAGAAGAAACACCACAAACTTATAATGTAACCCAAAAACTACCAGAATTACACACCACTTACCCATGCATGACATGATAAAATACGTGCAGGAACGCCACCTACGAACACTTGTCGAAAGCGTTGCAAAAACGTCGTCCCCGCCCCCCGTGGGACTCGAACCCACGACCCTCAGATTAAAAGTCTGATGCTCTACCAACTGAGCTAGAAGGGCCCCAGCACACAGATATATCTTCACTTCATTAATAGTTTCTCAACAAAATTGTTTTATTATTTATTTTATATGTGACTTCATACGTGACTTTATCGATCTTAGAAATAATCAATACGTGACTTTATCAATGCTAGAAATAATTCATATGTGATTTTATCAATGTTAGAAATAATCCACACGTGACTTTATCAATGTTAGAAATAATTCAAACGTGACTTTATCAATGTTAGAAATAATTCATACGTGACTTTATCAATGTTAGAAATAATTCATACGTGACTTTATCGATGTTAAAAATAATTATGTATGACTCAATCACAAGACAAAAAAAACAGAAAAAAGCGTTGTTAACGAATTATGTGATTAGACATATTTTTATGACCTTTCTCTCATCGATCCATTTCATCAATTTTTTCTTCTATACCAAATTCATCACTGATCACTCAAATGTTGCATGCGCTCATATAGCAAGTTTTGCACAATTATCATGATCTCAATGGCTAAATTCTGGCGATCAGATCAATCGTTCATTGTAATAATTGAATTTAATTAAGTACAATTGGATGTACAAAATTACGCACCTAATATGATAACGAAATGCACTATCATAATAATCACTTCATCAATAGACTTAATTATCGTATATACACTGATTATTAGCCTACTTAAAGCTGAGATTAATAGTAATTAACTAAAACAATTAAGGGAAGTAATTAACAATATGTAGAATGCTTTCAAGAACTTCTCCATTCTAGCATTCACATTTATAAATTAGTTAAAAATTACTGTTATTCATTTTTATGTAGAAAGTTTTATTCCTTTTGTTGAAATCTTATAGTGATTTAGATATAACACTTAAAATATAATATAATTAGTCTTGATTAACCTTGTAGAAGATAAAATTAGAAGATCGTAATATTTGAACAATATAGTAAGATATAGTTAAGTTAAAATAGAAAATGATAAGAATTAGACAACAAATAATACACACAGATATTATGAAAAATATACCTAAAAAAATATGATGAATTTTGCAATTATTCATAAATTACACAATAAAGATATTAATTTAAGCGATAAGAAAATACTTTTTTTTTTAGGTAAGTATTTTTCTTAATTATTAAGTTTCACATATATTAATTAGCATAGCATTAATATTTGTTTGTTAATAAAACTTGATAATTATCTTTTTCATTGAAGAATTACACAATTGCTCGTTTTTTTTAATTGATAAATTATCAGAATTATTTAAGGTGATAAATGATAGTGCAACAAAGAAGAATAACAGCAATAATCAGATCAGTATATCATCAATGAGTAATAAAGGTGATAAATTAAATGACATTACTAATGAAAATATTCAAAAGAAAGGACAAATTACAACAAAATCACCAAAAGCAGAAATTAGTGCAGGAAAAGGAATGGAATCATTCAATGATAATATTGCAACTTCGCCGGTATTTTTTCTTCATTTTTATTTTATTTTAATTTGCTAATTCACTTTTATCCGTTCATTTTTATAGTTAATAATTTATAATTAACATAAATTTTAAATCATTTAACTATTTGTATAATATACAAATGGTAATTTATGCTTTCTTTTTAATTTTACTATTCATTTATTTGCTTACTTATTTTTTCTTTTTAGGAAGCAGAATTCTTATCAGTAATAACAACCACTAATACATCTGTTATATCATCAGTTAATCATCCGGAACAATTCACTGGTTATCATAAATTTTTTCTATTTCAAAACAAATTATAAATCTTATATATTTATAAAATAGAAAAGGATTTTCTGATCGAGTTTTAATTTTAACTTTTACAAATGAATCATCGATGTTAGTGCTAATATCACAAACGTTAACGCTATTGCCATTTCAATCATTTAAAAAAACAATAACAAACAGCCAAAGTAATGATAACTTATTAACATCATATACCAGTCTAATTTGAATAATAGAATTGAAATATCGAAAGTATCGTTGTTACTAATCAATAATCAATTCTAGGAATTTTAGGCGTAAAACGGATAGCTTTTACGTATTATAATGATAATCATAGTAACGTTGATAGTTAAAATAAACTATTGAAAATATTTCATATGATTTACACTGAATAAATTAATAAAATATTTCATTGTTGCTCGTTTCTAGCAGAACATAAAATGCAATTTGAAGAGTTGGAAGTCGATACCGTAGATGATGGTGATGATACAGGTGATAATGGTCTCATTTCATTTGGCACACCATCAAACAGAAGTAATGATGAATTTATGGCACAAAATGATGGCTCGGAAAAAGGTTAAAATTTTGTAATCCATTTTGTAAATGCTTCAAATTTGTATAATATATGATAATTATAGTAACGTCAGTAGTTAAAATAAACAATTGAAGATATTTCAAATTTGTGTAAGTAACATCAGTTTTTAATGTTAGATTAAAATAAATGTTGCCAGATGATTGTTTTAAATCATACTTTACGTTTTTATGAAAATTTGAAAACAATTTTTCATCTTGTTAATTAATTATATCTTCACACACATCTAATAATCATAACAAAAAACAATAAATATAAGTTTGAAATAACAAATAACATAATTGATAGTTTTTTTTTGAATACTCATTTTAATGAAGCAATTTTTTTAATCAAACAAAAAATTTAAAATAATCATTTCGACAAAATGACAAATCGTTGATTTTTTTGTTGGTAAAAAAATCATAATTATCAGGTATTGAGCAAGATTCAACGTTGCCAATGATGAATGAAGGAAATGATGGAGAAGAATCAGAATCAGCAATTGCTGATGTAAGTGCAACTGAAAGTACAGAATCAATGCAGAGCGAATTAGAACCAAAATCGATATCTTTGCAAACACAACAACAGCAAGATGAATCAGAAAGTGATGATTCAGCTAAGGAACAAAATAATAACGATAATTTTGAAGGTCGAATTTCTAAAAATGTAACTTTGTATGATAATTGATCAATTATTAACATTTAATTGCTAGTTTTCAAAAAAGATTCGTTTTCTTTTTTCCAGTTGATCACAAGCAAGATGAAATGCAATCGGAAACAAATATCACTGAGATGGAAGATTTGATTGATAAGGAAAGTGATGAAGAAATGAAACAGCAAGCTTCTGACGATGTCTTAGAAGGTTTAATTGTTTTGTTTACTACGCTTTTTTTTAAGTATATAAAATTAATATTTTCAAATTTAAACTCAAAAGGTTGAATAATAGATTTTATAAATCAAATTTTATTTATTGCAGCATTAATAACAAAAGCGATGACGGAAGGAATGGAAGAAGCAATACCGACTGAAGAAAAATCAAAAGTGAAGATCAGAAAAATATCTGAAACTGATCGAAAGAAAGTAATAAATGCGAAAACTCCATCATAAAAGCACCTTAAAGCGTTACTTAATATCCACATTTTTTAAATTTTGATTTTGAAGTAAAAAAACGGGTACCAGAGTATTTAACTTTGAAATTCGAGGTTTTAAAAGTAAAGCGGAACTTTTAATTTTCGAATTAAAGATAAGTGAAACTTCTGGTACCAGCCAGGCACTTCTTTTCTTATCTGATACTCTATATTTTTGTAAGATAGCTCATGTTTGACGATTAGAACGAAAATTTTTGTTGGTGGAAAGAAGACAAATGTTATTATATTGAAATTGAAATTAAAATTAAATTTTTTGTACAAACAAAATTTTTCCTTCACTAAAATTTCATCCAGAAATGATTATCATTTATTAATATTACTACATGTATCATTCATTTGCATTATCGTTGCAATAAATCGAATGTATTGTAATTGGACATCGAAAATACTATATTTATCCTAGACATAATCATAATCATAATCATAATCATCATCATTATTATTATTTGTATTCTCAGTTTGTTGATCTCCTTCGGAGTTGTATTATCTTTAATTAAATATATGTAAAAAGGAATTTATCATTGGTTGCATGGAATATTTTGTTTTTTTTGCATCATCTCTTCTTTTTTCTTAAATAATTTAGAAATTTAACGCATCTAAAATTTTTCAGACTTTAATAAAACCAAAATAAAATTTTTTATAACATTAAAGAATTCGTTTTTTAGTATAAAATTATATTATCTGTTATATAAGCAAGTAAATAAGTAAGTAAATAAGTAAGTAAGTAGGTAGGTAAGTAAGTAAACAAGTAAGTAAGTAAGTAAATAAGTAAGTATATTTTGTGTCAAAGTTCATTATTTCATGCAATATAATTTTCATATTTTCATTTACGAACACATATTTTATGTTTTTTATTTATTTGAAATGTAATCGAAAAAGAAAACAATAATTTTCTTTCGTAGAACTATTGAAATATTATATTTTGAGCAGATTTAAATAAAAACAAAAATACATAAATATCGAAAATTATTTGGGATACTGTAATTTACAATATAAAAAATGCCTTCTTAAATGAAACATTCCATTTTTAAACTTTTGGCGCATTTTATAAAATATACTTTTTTAAAAGATCACAGATTACATGAAACATTTATGCGCAATATTTTAGCAATAAAATTATTGCAAAACAAAGAAAATAAATGGAAAATTACGGTAAGATACAGTCGCATCCAAATGATTAAATGTTAATTAGACAAACTGTATCTGTAAAATATGAGCAAAACATTTCATATCTTTAAAGGATGAATAAATAAAAACAAATTTTAAATTCTATTCAATAATTTTAGCTCGATATAATTTACACACACTTTACATGTCATAAGGAAATTTAATAATAAGGGATGAATGTATTTAACAGTATGCTTTTGATTCAAAAATTACGGTAACAATGGGCAAAAATTACAACAAATTACGAAATCATTAAATTTAAATCACTAAATTAATAAGCTACCAATAAAAAAGTAAGCATACAAAGGCAAGTTTTAAAGCTTTTAATTTTGAAATAATAAAGTAAATTTTGAAGAAGTAATTTTAATTTTGCCAAAGTACTTTAATAATTAAATTTACAGAATTCAAAAAATTTTTTCTTTTAACAATTTTCCATTAATAAAGAATAGTTTGACTTTTCTCCTTTGTTTTAAGCTTTAAAAAAATCTATTGGATCTATTTCAAAGCCATAAATACTTTTGATATGATATCAAATTATATGTATTTGTTTACGTATTTACATTTGATAAAAATTTGATTTTGAATAAAAGTATCATTAAGCATAGATAGAAGATATTTCGCAGTTATTCTTGTAGTTATTTTCTAATTTCATTATTATTTTCAGTAGCACAAGAAATTTCAAAATAAATTACATGATAAGAAATTCAATTTATCACATTATCTATTAATGATTTTTAGGATTAAACATAATTGAATATTTCCTAAAATGAATTATCAAATTTTATCAAATAATTACCGTTAGAAATTACTATTGTTTTTTTTTACTATTTGATAATAATTGCAAACATAATTACAAATATAAACAATTGATAAAAATTAAAATTATGAAATGTAAATTTTTTTTTCACATATTAAAAAATCACAAAAATACTAATCGCAATTAAATAATAAACCAAAAACTAATTATTAATCAAACAATTATCATAAAAGAATTGATTGATAATTATATCAAAATGAATCGCTCACATGGTACCAGTAATTTGAAATTACCCTTAAAAGAAAATTAAATATAAAATTATTACAAACGTAACATCCATTCGCCTCTATCATTCTCTTCCTCATCAGCTTTATTCATTGTTTTTGCAATTGTTATCTGCAAAAAAATTAAAATAAATATTACAGTATACTTCGAAGAATTTTCATTAAAATGCTTTCATTCATAAAAAATATTTTTGATTAAAAAATATAAAAGAAATCTTTTCATTAGAAAAAAACGGTTATTTAAAATAATTCCAACTATATTTCAATCAATTTTCTAAAAATTTTTCATACATATTGGTTAATTTTTTGTATAATATCTATTTTAGGATAATTTCAGGATGTTTCCGAATATTTTTAGATACTTTTTCGCATTCACATGAACTGTCTTCCCGATAATATTATAATAACGTTCGGAATTTCTTATCTCTCTTCTACCGCTTCTTTTATCTTCATATTCTTTTTGCAGTAAAAAACCATACATGAATCAGTTATTAACAACAATTACCGTTGATTCCGGATTATTGATGATACCATGTTGTGTTTTTGTTACGATATATGAACCTCTCTTCAACAAATCATCATTTAATGCTATCTGAAATTATAAACCGATAACTTTTTAAATGGATTAAATTAAAGAAATTCATGTTTAAAGCTGAAATTGAAATGACAAATTATATTTATGCAATATCATATCAAAAATGGATTAATATTGTCATTTTAAATCTTTCTTCAATTAATAGCAATGATTGGAAATTGGAAATTGATAATGTGTTATTTGTGGATGAAAGAAATACTGAAATTTCCATTTGAATAAAACAAAAATAAAATAAATTACTTTAAGTTTACTTTGTCGTGGAATTGGTACTGGTCGTTTCAGCTCTTTTTCAGAATTTCTATTTTCAATCTAAAAATTGAATAAATTTAAATACCGTTTACTTTAGAGAATATTTATTTCCAAAATTTATCTATTATGTTTATTAAACGTTTCCAACTGAATATTATGCTATTCATTTTTACCTTAAAAATGTAATCAAAAAAATCAACAAATCGATTGTTTTATTGAAATTAACAAATTCATTGTTAGCTGTCTTGAAATCAATAAAATTAATTACTTACTAATGATTTCATTTACAATTTTCATTATAATAAATTACTTATTTATATTTCATTTGTAATTATTAATTTATTTCTCAAATTTTATACCGAATGTAATATTTACATTTACAAACACATTAAGTGAAAAATGCATATGTATTATGGAAAATTTTAAATTATGGATATGAAATATAAAAATAAAGAAAATTACATAACCTCAGGCATATCAACAATTACTGTCGTCCGTTTCATGTAATCGATTTGCCGTGGTGCCGGTTTAGGTCGTGCCGAAATTCTTGCTGTTGAGGATGAAGGATGTTGTTGAACAATATTAGGACCACATTTCATTGCAATATCATTTGATTCGTTGTTATTTGAAGTATCATACATTGAAGTGCGCGGTTGTACTCGTTTATCCGAAACGGAATCGCAACTGTTACGTTTAAAACATGTTTGTTGTAGTGGTATTGGTTCTGAATTTCGACCATTTTCTAATGATACAAAATTTGCCGGTTTCGTAGAATCGTTTCGCCATTTTACATTACGAACATAATTACATGGATCATATGATGAAACAGGAATAATAGTTGAAATATTATCAATAAAATGTTTTTCCTTATTAGTAACAAAATTTTCCCGATGTTGTTGTTGTTGTTGTTGTCGATGATGATGATGGAAAATATGTGAAGCATCCTTAAAAAATGTTCTCATAATAAGAATTATCAACAACAGTAGCAAGAAAAAGAAGCTCATCAGTAATTTATCAAGAAGGAAACTTATTATTACATTCTCTTTTATTACAATGAATTATTCTGATCCTATATAATTATACTTAATTACAATTATCATATTTTATACAATTGAAATAATTTACTCTGATATATATGCAGTTACTTATATAGTTAGGGTTATAATTATCAAACTTTTACGGCTAAAATAAACTATTCTATTTCAATACTATACTTAATTATATGTGAAAAGAATTGATCTATCTTACTTTCTTTCCTGAGGTTATATTATCATTGTCACAAATATACACCAAATTCTTCGTTGTACCACTTTTGCTTTCACTTGCTGTTGTCATTGCAATTGGTCCATCAAAAGATGTTTCCAAATATTTTTCATTACCATTTTGATTTAAATTTTCATAAATATGATTAACTGCTATATTTTGTTTTTCAGATAAATATTGTTGACTTGAATCCTCCTTCCTAGTATCATCAGTTATTGTTGATGCTGCAGAAGTAACCAGATTAGCTACTGTTGGTTGGAAATTAGCAGAGGATTCTGAACCATCAACTTTAATAATTGTTGGTAGCATTTCAGAATTTGAAATTTTTTGATGTTTTGATTGAATTTTTGGCTTTTTATCCACCGTAACATTCATATTTTCTCTTCGATTATCAAATATCGTTTTTTCAGAAGGATGAACTGCTTGAGTAGATAATGATGATGATGATGATGATGATGGATAAAACAATTTCTGTTGCTCTTCCTCATCTGAAGTATTTGATTTCGGAATCGGAAGTGGTTTTTTTAGTACAGGTTTTGGTGATTTGGGTGGATGTTTAGGAATTGAATGATTTTTATAATTTCTTTTCTCAGCAATAATTTCCGCTATTGATTTTTCATTATTAAGACCAAAAATGTTGATACCAATGAGAGATGGTTTCGATACTGTTTCCGAATCAGACACATATAATGAAGTTTTTGTTTCCGTATTACTTTCACTATTTGATATAAAATTGGAATCCTGATTGATCTTAAATTGTAATTTCTTTGAATCAAGCATTTCAACTAATTGTTTCACCGATTTTTTTTTATCATCTGATTTCGTGGATTCAGCCTTCCCTTCAACTGTCTTCATAATTGAATTTTTTGAATTCAAAGTTTGAAAAGTTTCAATGGGAATTTGCTCATCCAATGCATCATCCAATTGTTTCAGTGCTTCTCGAATTTCCATCTGATCGTTGAAATCGATTAATTTCGTCTCAAAACTATTTGTATCCGTTGTCATTGAGTTAACAGATTCTGAAGCTTCTTGATTCTGAAGCAGACTTTCCGATATTACTTCTTCGGTATTTCGAGAAATCAGAGCATCATAAGCAGCTTCCTGTTTTTTTGGATTAGGATACTGGAATGTTGGTGTAAGTGGTGCTACGAAGGATGTAGTTTCTGTAGAGCCTGACGATGAAATTGATTTCGTGGGATGCTTCGATAGCATCAGAAAATTTTTGGTGCTTTTTTGATCATCATCTTCTCTGAAATTTGATGCCAAAGTATAAGGTATCGACTGACGTTTTTCATCATCTGATCCTTTTCGGCTACATTTCAAACTTAGTTTCAAATTATTTCGTTTCTGCACTGATTGCTTTTCGTCTGTCGTACAAGAAGGAATAGAAAGATTATTGAAATTATCATATGTTTCGATATTATGAGTGTAAACTGCAACATTTTCAGGACTACTTTTCCGATTTTTTTTGATTGGTTCTAAACACAATTTTGTGATATTATCAGTAGGAGTAGCAACAGTGATAGAATTACGATCTGCATCAGCGATATTTTTCTCGATCATATTGAAAATATTTCTGATAATTGGATCATGTGATAATTCTCTTACAACAAAATTATTGGCGTTCGATTGTACATCTTCAATATGTACTAAATGTCTGAAATTTGATTTATTAAAACAAAAAAAGCATTTAAAATAAACAAAAGCTTGAAATTATGCAATAACTGTTAAATTGTTGACACCTGTTAACCTGTTGACACATTGAGAAATTTTATTGAAAATTAAATGAAATTTCAAAAATAAAAATTAAAAAAAAAAGGGATACTCGAAATGAGTAGGTGTTGATACTTCTTCCGGTTTTACTTTTGCTATTTTTCGTGATAGTTTTTTGCTACTGCCTGAAAAAAGTAAGAGAAAAGAGAATCACGAATAGTTATAATTGTGATAATTGTAGTAACCGTAAATCACAGAATAATAATTATAATTTTAATATTAATAATGATCGCGATTGTATGATAATGATTAATTATAATTTTGGTAATGATAGTAAATGATTACATAATTGATTATTTAATAATGATTTTAATGATATTAGTGATTTTAATAATTTGATAATAGCATGACATAGTTAAATTATTATTAATAATAGTATTTCTCATTGAAAATTACTAATTTTAAGCAATTCAAATTTAAGCTAACTTACTTATTTTCAAACTTTAAAATTATTTTTGAACTAAAGAAAAATGTCAACTTAATATATTACTTAATAGTAATAAAAGTTTCACTTTTTAATTAATAATTAAAACGAGATTAAATTTATAATTATTTTTTTCTGCAAATCTAAAAATGATTTTTAGTTTAGAAAAACAAATAATATTTTATCGATTGATAAAATAAATGAATAAAAAAGAATGGAAGAAAAATAAAACAATAAATCTCAGATGATTAATTAACTGTTTGTTTAAATTTCCTTCTATTTTCAACAAAAATGCATTGAAATAGTAAAATTGTAATTTTGTTGGATTGCAAATTAATTGAATTTTTCTCCTTTTAATTAAAGTGTCGATTTTAATTAAAATGTCCATTTTAATTAAAGTGTATACCTTGGCTATTCGAAACGATATTCGTTGTGATAGGCATATTTTCTGATTCAGCCATGTGCCTATAATTTTCATCAGCTTGAACCTGAAAAAAAAATTTTTTGATAATTAATAACAAGTAAATAAATATTTCATCTATTTTAAAAGAGTACAAAAATAATTCATTTCAAATTTAATAATTTTTTTAAAAAAAGTGCCAAAGATGAAATCAGTAATAATGTTATTATTTATTAGTAATAATGATAATAATAATTGTTATTGTTATCATTACCAATAATAATAATATAATTATTATTATTAATTAAGAAAAAGAAATGAAATGGTATAAAAATTAATTTTAAAAGAAGAAAAAATTCTGGCCGATAAATAATTTTATATATTATAAATATTAAAGTATTTTGGAGGATAAAGGAATTCAACAAATTGTAATTTTTGAAAGGAATTTTATTTTGTAATTGAGAACAGATGGAAAATATAATTTCAATTTATTTATATCATTTTGGTTATATTTTCTTCGAACAAATAAATGATTCATACATTCCTTTAATGACTGAAAAAATGGATTTCGTTCATTTTCTTTGGTACTTTAATTTTCTTCTTTTTCATAATGCACCAAATGTCATCATTAGTGACAACCATAAAATAGTGACAGATAGCAAAATAAGAGAATAATTTGTTCAACTTTTTAGAAATCGTTAAATTTTAAAATAATGGCAAAAAAATAAGGCATTAAAATTCAAAAAATATGAAATAAAAATGAATAATTTATACGTAATTTCTTTTAAAACAAATATTTCAATTTTCACGATAATACAAAATTTCGTTATAGTTTTCAAAATTTGATATCACTGATATTAGTAATTGCAATTATCATTATCATACTTTCAATTACACCATAGTAAATTATCATTAATTATTATAATTTCAATTACACCTTCAATAGTAAATATATAGTGGAATCTGAATTGGAAACAGAAAAGATGAAAATTTCTAATTTTTAAATGTATTAATTAGGAGAGAGAAGAAGAAGATACGGTAAAAATCTTTCATATATTAGAAAGATTTTAATTCAGCTAAAAACTATTTAAGTATATTAATTAGAAAAAAATACTTTTTAAAACTTTTTCAAACATAACAGCGTTGAATTTTTAAAGCGATATTTATGAGATAGTTAATTTAATCAATCGGATCAATGAGTTTAATCAATTAATTAAACAGCACTTTCTGTATTTGTCTGGAAGCGTAATCAATGTATTTTAAATCGTTACTTAACTAATACATTGAATTATTAGGTAATCAATAGTTTGAATTGTAATGTAATTAATTAATCGTTGAATCTTTGCATAATTAGTAATAGCTATGAAAATAAGTATATAAAAATTCGTTATTTCCATAATAAATGAAAGAGAGAAATATTATTTCATTCATTTCTCTTTTACCTTTCTTAGAGTGCTAAATAAAAATTTCAAGTTGTTAAATAAAAGTTTTGAATTGTTGTGAAAGCATAAAAGATAACTTAACTTTCAAATATTCTATGCATACATATCATTGATTAGCTATTAATCATAGCAGTCTTAATCAATGAAAGAAAAAAAAGTTACAATTTAAACCTTTGAACTTTGATATGTATTTCATTTATAGATGAGAATTTGCTAATTAGCTAATTAGTTTATTGTATGTTCCTTTTAAAAACTAAAATTTAACCTTTTCTTTAAAATTTTCAAAAAACAAACAATCAATGAATGTTATTAATTGAAATAATTACAAAATAATACTTTAAGATAATTCAATTTTTTAAAATTTATTTCAAAAGTTTACATTTAAGAAGAATTCGGTATATATTAATAAAAAATTATTAATTATCAATATTTGTAAATTAAAATAATTTATTTAAAAATATAAATTATAAAAAATTTTTTCCCTTTAGCAAACTATTTCAATAAATTAATGAAATTATTCATTCATTCATAAGTATAGATAGAATAAAAGAAAAATATGTTTATTAAGAAATTTGTTTACTAAATGATAATGAAGGCTTATTTATTAAACAATAGGTAGCATAGATCTATTTACCTAAACGAAATCTAACGATTTGTTTACTAAATATCAACTAACGCTTAATTGTTTTAATAATAAACTATAATTGTAACGAATTATAAACTAAAAGTCTTAATCACAAATAGAATATAGTTAAATTAGTCAGATAGAAGGATATGAATTATAAGTTGCAGAAGAAATTGGCAATTTAACTCATAATTTCTGTTTAATAAGGAAATGCTAATGTGTTCATTTAAAATCTTCCATTTGTCCAGCTGGTCATCATAAATCATTTTAAGCATTCGCTGTCAACTTTCTTCACTCTCTTCTGGCAACAATTCTCTCAACCTTTAATATTAACAATCCTAACATTAACAATATCTATTTTCACTTTTTAATACTTAAAATAATTTAAACATTTCATTTCTCATAATTTAAGTAAAATATTTCAAAAGAAAAAAATTCTGCAAAAATTATAAAAATTTTAATAAAAAGAAATTAATAAAATATATAATATAAAATAAAAAGATAAAACAAAATTGGGTGACTAATTTTTTAATTTCACAATTTTGTTTAATTAAAAATTAATTAAATTTATTTTAGAAAATTATAAATAAATTCTAAAAGATAAAATGAAAATGAAAAATTTACAATT